TCATTAGTTTGAGAATTTAAACAAAAATCGAAGTTAATCTACTAGATTTGGCTAGAAAATTGAATAATCAATGCTTCTTAACAAAAAGTAAAAGTTTAAAGTATACAAAAATTTCAGGCATAGTTCACTCTATATATTATAATTCAATATAAGAAATACCACAGCTCCTATTAAGTTTAAGATATCAACAAAAAACTAAAGTGGATAATCCGAAATCGAGGATAATCCACTTTAGTGAAACAGGCCGATTATGTTCGAAATTAAGTTACTAGAGATTTAATCACAAACTTAGAATCCAAACATCAAAATTTCGATGTAGTAAAAAAACCTTTTGAGTTGACTTTTTCTACAGATTAATTCCATTTTTGAATAAGTGTACCGATGTTTTCATAAAAAAAAATTGAACCATAAACTCACAACTGCAAAAAATCAATATTTTTCTTCCTTCCTTTAACTTTCAAATCATGTAGAAACATACATGACACAATTGACATATATGGAATTTAGATACGACGTGGAAAATGAATTTTACATAGACATGAGAAGATAGGAGAAGGGCATAAAAAATATATTCAATGAAAATTTTGAGCTTTCAAATTAAAACAAATTTTCGTTGTTGTGTTGTTCTTCACTCTTGACACATTCATCAATCAATTTTGTCAGTTTCACGTTTTAAATTCTCGTCTCACTCGCACATTTTCTCTTGTATGATAATTTTTAAAAAAAAATTGAGGTGCGTACAAAACTTCCTTTAGCTAATTCTATCATGTAAAGCAGGTATAAGATTTTCGTGATAATTACAGTTCGAAAAAAAATTCCTTTTTGTTTTATACACAAACACATCCATGTACTCATGTATATATAACAACTTGTAAACCGTAGAGGAGAGGCAGTAAAAAGAAAAGGTATTTTTTTTTACTTTCACGTCACCAAAAATGTTCATACATTTTTTCACAAACAAAAAAAAAAGGCTAAATAATAAGAAATATCCTTGCGACTTATGGACTTTCTAGTTAATAAAACATAAAGAGAGCAAAAATAAAAAAGAATGCTAGAGAAATGAAGTGAAAAAGAAAATCAAAAAGCAAATGTCATCATTACGAAGGAAATAAATAAAATAAAACCAACTAGCTACTTTTCTTGTTTCTGATGTTCTTTTTTCACCAACATTTAATTAACTAAAGTTTCATATATGCATATTAATAGGCAACTTTTTTTCTATCTTTACATTGCTTTTTCCTTTCTCAACCTTCATTCGAAAATTTTTAAACTTTGGTTTTTAATTACTTTATACACCGTCACTTTATTTGAATGAGAAAGAAGACAGCAACAAGAAAAAAAAGAAATCAAATAAAATAGCGTAATTTAATCCATTTAAACTATTTCAGTTCCATTTTTGTCCTTTTTGTAAAAAAAAACTTTAATTTTCTTTCTGTCTTATTCTTTTTAAAACGTTAACCGTATTTACTATATTGGTGCGAATCATCAGCACTTCAACTCGACGACTAACTGGAATGGAAAAAAGTTAAGGAAATTATTCTAAAAAGCTTGCGATGAGAACATTTTATCCTTTATTCCAAAATCTCACAGAGATTGCGCAAAGAAAAAATAACATAGGTTTGAGACAGGGTGATCAATTTTGAATCAGTTTCCAGTTTGGTATTGTAAAATACATAACATTTCAGTTGTCCATACTCATCAGTTGTGAATTTATTAAACTTTCAGTTTATTATTTTTATCCTGCTATTTGCCTGACCAATATATTCGAAAAATCTCGGTTGCATCAAAGATTAAATTTATTAATAATTAATTGAATGAATGTGATTTGTGCTGGAAACACCAAAAACTGTAGCCAAATCGAAACGTCGTTTCATTAAAGTTTATCAAATGATCTGAAAAATATCTTTACGTTTGTCCATTGTACTGAACTCGATGTATAAATGTTTAACTATTGTTGGAAAGGAAGAAAAAGATTTCTTATTAAAAATTAATTTAATCATTGCTACAGTCTTGCATGAGAGCAAAAAGTATATTTGAAGCGAGTGTTTGGTTTAAAAAAGATTAAATTTATGCATATACTTTGAAAATTTTGGGTAAGTAAGGTGGAGCGAAGAATTCCATTTATAAAAGATTCATTGTAATAAAATTCAATCACCTTTGACTACGAAGCAATTGAGTTATTCGTTCTATTGCGTTGAATTTACATTAAAATTTATGAATATAACCTGACTATTGCTTACTTATTATTTTCAAGACTTCATGAACAAAATAATTTAAAAGCAAGAATGATTTGAAAAGAATTTCAGTAAAACGTAAAATGTGTAACTGACTATTAAATTGATTTTTTATGATTGCAAAGAAAAGTTTTCTAAGAAAAAGGATAATGATGCTCCCTCATTTGTTTTCGTTGTTTAGAAGGCTCGACTTGTTGATTTTGCATCTCATTTCTTTCTTCTACTGCACACTTTACTATTCTTGTTCATGTTCTATGTATTTTTTACGATCCATTTCCGAAATTACATTTCTGATATATTAAGTTCTAGATAAAACATGCCTGCGTAAACCAATACAAACAGAAACATTCTCTCATTTATCTCAATTCTTCTTCTCTCATTCAGATGCATATATTTATGAAGAGTAACGCACAAAATAAGCATAAATGCATGAAATTTAATAAACTTCTTAACTTCTTAGGGAAGTAAATCAGTTTCATTAAAGAAAATGCGCCAAAAAAAAACATCAAACATAAAAAAAAAACAATATTCGCATGCATCGCGTTATCACTCAAATGAATACATTCTCACACACACACTTAACATAAACAATGTAAAAAAATTCACTAGTTTTGTTTACTAGCAACACATTGAATTTTATATTTTTGTTTCGGCTTTTATATGTGGAAAAAAAATAGTAAAATTTGTTCAAGTGAAAGAAACAAGTTTAGTTATACATCGAGACTCTTCTTGTTAACATCTGCATTTTTGATTTCATAGAAAAAAATTTGAAGACATAATAGTACAGCTATTTAACTTTTTAATCATTAACTTTTGTTCTATTTTTTTAAGTGAATTAAAGTGAATTAAAATAAACTGTTATTATTTTTAAATTGTTTGTTTGTTTAAGACTAATAATATTAAAGGTGTGTGTCTTTTATCCAATTTTTATAATCCAATCAGATTAAAGAACCCAAGTTTAATTTATAAATTTCTCCCAAATTTGCAAACCCCTTTCTTTTTGAAGCCATAAAGATGAACTCTAAATTCGTTTTCATATTTTTTTTCTCTCATGCATAGTATCATTTCATTCACGCGACAGTTTTTTTTCTGCTTTCCTACGATCACAGAGTCCAAAGTCCATATCTCAAGATTGAAGTACGCTTCTGAGAGAAAAGTATAAAAAAAAATTGAGAAAAGTAAACATGAGCAAGATTAAACTTATGAATGAACGATAAACGTGGCGAGAATACCATGTTTGTGATAATAGAACATATAAATTTGCACTTATATATTTTTTGTAAGGAACAATAATAATCGATAATTTTTTATTAATATGTGACATGATAAATTAGCTGTTAAAATTTTTTTCGTAAAAACTTATGTGAGTGATAAGAAGGAATATCATTCATATTTCTGAAGTCAGTAACATCACTTTATGTATCGTATATGAGAAACAAACAGAACACACAGATTCCATTTAAAAATAAAAATTATTTTTAATATTATAAAAAATTTGCGAAAATACTATTGATTTATTTGAATTATGTTTGCTTCTTTTATCTTCAGATAAATACTGTAATAGATTTTTAAGTTACCAGAAATCTGTTATTATGACAATGCAGATCTTTTGTCGGAAAAAATTGCAGTCATCACATGTTTCTGTTTATTGCTACAATTAAAGCTTTGTAATTCAATTTGTATAAAAAGTCTCTATTCACAAACAGAACCCAACTTCAGTTCTTTTCTATTCTCAATATACATAACATCTTACTTAAGATAGATTTAAAAAAATTTGGAAAACAATAAATCTTTGTTGTGATTCCAACTAAAGTTGTCAAAAAAGGATAAAGTTTTGATTTTCGTATGAAATAACATACTTCACAATTTCAACACTAAGTAGAAAGTGATCAAATTTTTAAGCCAAAAATTCATTAAATTTTTCCTACAATCTAGAAGAAGGAAAAACCGACAAAAAATGCATCACGCAATAAGTATTTAAGAGAATTCTACTTACTAGCTTAACGAACATTCTTTAAAAGTTTTTCAAAAAATTTTTTCATCCAAAGTTGAATTTTATAAAAATCACAGTCAACTTTTGTTTCAAAAAATTCGTAAGAAAGGAAAGTTTTTTGCTATTTCTGAAGCAACGGCTGTTCCTACCTTGCCCAAAAACAATACAGCTCTTCTATAGAGCAGCACGGATCAAATGTAAAAAACTAGAAGTCTCTACGATATCTCGTTATTGAGATTTCTTGCTGATTAACTTGCTTGCTTGCTTGTTTGCTTACAGAAAGCGTATTTTGCGATTTTCTCAGCAATGCCGCAACCAATTTGAAATCTGTTTTTTTGAAAAGGATGTAAAATTTCAGGCACAAACTTTTCTTCTGGGACCTTTTATAACCAATTTTACTTTGTTTTCTCACAAAATGTGAAAAACTGATTTTTCAATCTGAACAAAACGTGAAAACGGTGTGAATATGAATATTAAATTTAATAATAAGTATAGTTTATGTTCGTTTATACTTTCACGATAATGTGAAATGGTTATAATAGGTTTTATTCTGTTTTATTAAAACAAGACTATCTGAATCCTGGAAAGAAGTTAATCATGAATAAATATATAAATAATCATAAATAAGTTCAAGAGGAACATCATAAAAAAATAAACCAAATTTTTAACATTAAAGAATATCTTTATTTATAAAAAAATCACAGTGATTGGACTTTAGACTTATTTTTTATTCCGTGTGACTATACATTTTTTCCCTCTTTTTAAAGCAAATGCAAAATTAAATATTTTTCTGAATTCATTCACGTAGAGATTGTTGAGTTATAAAGATGTTAAGGCGCGCCTTTCAAAAAACTTTGCTCCAAAGTAATCAAATTAACCAAAAGAAAATTGTAAGAGCAATTTTAACATCGAATGGAACTTTTCATCAACAACCATTAGCAAATAATAAGGAAGATATTATTGTTTACTCTCCATTTCCCTCACTTGACTATCCAAATGTAACAATCGAGCAATATGTTTGGGCGGATGTTGACAAATGGATTAACAAGACTGCAATTGTAAGGAACAAGAAGAAAATATGTAATAAAATAATTTTGATATAAATTAATGTCGTTTTTCGTATAAAACAATCAACAGGTTGATGGAATGAGTGAACGCTCAATAACTTATGGACAATTGCGTGATCAGACTAGAGCATTAGCTGTTCGTTTGCAAAAAAATTTTAATTTGAAGATAGGCGACACAATTGCTGTTTGTCTTCCGAATTCTATTGAGTTCCCTACGATAGTTTTGGCTGGAAATGAAGCTGGTGTGACAGTTACAACAGTAAATCCAATTTATACACCACGTAAGTTAATTAATAAAGTCAACATCTATATTAAAAAAATATCAACATATATCCTTTAAATACTCGTTATAAATTGCGTAATTATATCTATAAACCACGTGCCATTTGATAAGAACCAGCTTATCAAAATTAAGTAATTATAACCAATTATCATTCGCATCATTTTTTTTTTATTTAATTTTGATACTATCAATTTTTTTTCATCATAAATTAGACGAAATATCAAGACAATTGATTGACAGTGGAGCAACTGTCATATTCGGACTGGCATGCATGAGTCCAATCCTTCAAAAATCTGTTGAAATGTCTAAAAAGTCTATAAAAATTATATACATAAAAGAGACTCCAACAAGTGTAATCCCAGCTGATGGAATTGATTTCTGTGAATTAATTGATACAAAAGGTGAATGACATTCTTTTATTTTTGTTTTTTAACCGTTTTATTTTAAAAGATTTCACTCCTACTTCAAATTTATTTTTATTCCTTTTAAACAGGAATTGATTTGAATGATTTGAAAGTTTATGAACGCGATGTTAAAAATGATGTAGCTATGCTACCTTATTCAAGGTAATATTTATAAATAAGTCTCCTTTCTCAAAAATCTGCACATAAATATAAAAATTATTTTTTGTTTTTTGTCACGTAACACACAGCGGAACGACCGGCTTAAGCAAAGGTGTAAAACTTTCAAACAAAAATATTGTTTCGAATAGTGTTATGATAAATTCAGACACTGGAAACGGCTCAATCTCTAAACCAGCTTTCGGGGATAGACAAGATGTACTTCCGTGTGTTTTACCTTTCTTCCATATTTATGGACTGACTTGTACTTTATTGAGTAAACTTGCTCATGGTTGCAAAATAGTTGCATTACCAAAATTCACACCGGAATCTTATCTGAATGCACTCGAAAAACATCAGGCCACAGTATTATATCTCGTTCCACCAATAAGTAAGCTTTAGTTATTAACATGTCCTTAAAAAATAAATAAAATTTACCGTATATTTCCATTTTAGTTCTTTTTCTTACGAATTTCGATAAAGTAACATTAAAACACACACAATCAATCAAATATGTTATGTCAGGAGCTGGTATGTTATTTTTAATACATATTTTTTGACATTCATTCAATGATTTATTATTTAGCACCATTGGGCAAATCTGATGCTGAAAAATTTTTGGAAAAGGCTCCAAATGCTTCATTTTTCCAAGGATATGGCTTAACAGAAGCATCACCAGTAGTATTACAATCATGCTTAGGCTCAAAGAATGTAGGAAGTGTAGGGTTTCCCTCACCTGATACTGAAGCTAAAATCATTCATATAAATGATCCTGAATTCCGAGGAGTAGGACCTAATGAACCGGGTGAACTTTTAGTTCGAGGCCCTCAAGTTATGATTGGATATCACAACAATGTAAAATCTACTCAAGAAACTTTAACATCTGACGGCTGGCTAAGAACTGGAGACATTGCTTATTATAATGATAAAAGAGAATTTTTCATAACCGATCGATTGAAGGAACTTATTAAAGTTAAGGGATTCCAAGTTCCTCCAGCTGAGCTTGAAGAATTATTAAGAATGCATCCAGATATTATCGATGCTGCAGTTATCGGAATTCCAAATAAAAATACTGGTGAACTTCCACGGGCTTACGTAGTTTCAAAGAATCCATCGTTGACTGAGCAGCATGTTAAAGATTATGTTGCAGATAAAGTTTCAGAATATAAACGATTAGAAGGAGGAATTGAGTTTATTCAGACTGTTCCGAAAAATGCAACTGGAAAGATTATGAGAAAGGAGTTAAAAGAACAGTTCCTAAAATCAAAATAATTTTTAAAACTTTTCTTTTTAAACTAATTTAATTTGTAAGTGATATTATAGCATTTAATATAGTTCTTAATAATATTTTTGGTGATAGTCTCTTTACTAGAACCCATAAGAAATTTGCACTACCGGAATATATTTTTTATTGCTGAGTATTTTTTATTTACAAAAGAAATGTTTTTTTAATTCGATTTCATGAACACATTTTTAAAAAAAATTGAAATGGTTATTAATGCTGTAGACTAACAATAAAAATTTTAGATTTTTCAATTAACTTTTCCTTTGTTCTTCAGGAGTCGTAGGAGGAGTAATTGAAAATGTTTGATGTTGAACGAGTTCTTTAAAAACTCCTTGAGGTAGATTCATCAAATAATTGTAGCTTCCAATTTCTTTAATAGCACCGTCTTCAAGCACAGCGATGTTATCAGCATTTCTGATAGTACTTAAACGATGAGCTATCGTAAGAACAGTTCGTCCTTTTGTCAAGTTTTCAAGTGCTTTTTGAATGAGCTCTTCGGAAACGGCATCCAAAGCACTTGTGGCTTCATCCAATATGAGAATTTCGGGGTTCTGTTTAAATGAAATGTATTGTTATAATTTATTTCAAAAGCATTAAAGTCATCTAACCTTAATAAGTGCTCTTGCTATTGCAACTAGAAATAGAATGAAAAATTGGTTATTATTGATTATATAACAAAATTTCTTTGATACGAAAATCTACCTCTTTGTTTTTGTCCTCCACTTAACATGATGCCACGTTGTCCTACATGTGTATTTAGACCATCAGGTAGTTGTTTTACAAATTCAATGACATGCGCTTCCTTAAGAACTCTTTGAAAATCTTCCTCGCTAATTTTTTCCGTTTCTTCAAGCCCATAAAGAATGTTGTCTCTGATTGTTCCACTGAAAAGAACCGGTTCTTGATTTACTGCCCCTATATAAAAATTCAACGAGTAAAAATTTATGGCTTTTCATTATTATATATAAATATTATAGGTATAACCTATATGACGCCTTAACCAGGAAGGATCTAAATCTCTTAGGTCTTGTCCGTCGAAAAAGATAACACCATTTTGAGGATCATATAATCGCATTAACAAAGAAGCTATTGATGATTTTCCACTTCCACTTCGACCAACTACAGCTGTAATTTTGCCAGCTTCAACTTGTAGATTCATATCCTTAATGACGGGAGCATCAGGTCTTGAGGGATAATTAAAACAAACATTTTTAAATGCAATATCACCACTTGGTTTGATTGATGGTATAAATCCACCACGAATTGGAATTAAAGGTTGTCGATCCATGATTTCCCATATCCTTGTTGCGGAACCAATACCTTTATTTAGCTCAGTGTAGAAATTACTCAAACCACCAATTGAAATTGCAGTGTATGCAGCATATAGAATGAAAGAAGTCAATGCACCGATTGAAAGCTGACCTTCGCTTACTAAAGTTCCACCATAATACAAAACTGACATGATAATTAAATTTCCTGAAAACCCGGTCATTCCATAAAAAATAGCTCGAGCTTTCGATTCTCTATATCCAATTTGCAAAGCATCTTCCAGTTCTTTAGTAAATAGTTGATGCTCACGTTCTTCCTTACTGAAAATTTTGACTGTTTTTATATTTCCTATGCGTTCTTCTCCAACTTTCATAACTTCAGCTAATTTGTCCATCATTTGTCTAGTAATGTTTCTTAAATATCTACCATAAACAACTGCCATTCCAGCTACACATGGAACCACACCAGCTCCAACTAATGCCAAGCCAGGTGACGTATAAACCATCATCCCCGTACCAGCTAGAACCATTGCCGTAGATCTAAGGCCATCTGAGAGATTTTGACTAAGAGAATTGCCAACCATTGTTGTATCGGCAGATAAACGGTTAACAAGCTCACCCGTGCCTTTCGTATCAAACCATGAACATTCTTGCATCGTGATTCTCTTAAATAATTGATCGCGGAGTCTCTTTGTAATTCTAAGTGCTGAAAAAATTAAATTGAATACACGCGCACGAAAAATTTTGTTCACTTCCGCATTATTAATTCAACTTACAAGCATTGTTGAATAAATATACACGTCCATAATTAGCAAATCCTCCAAGCACGAAAATTCCAGCAAGGAGCATGCAAAATTTACTGAGCTTTTCCTTAGTTTCTTTAGGGTCAGTTTCTTTTACATATATTGTGTCTAAAATTTTTCCTAATCCGAACGGTACAGCCATAGTTATGGAGGATGATATTATCAGACACACGATAGCACCTTTAATTACGTTAATTCCATCATATTATCAATATTATGTATAAGGGGTAGCTACTAACTCACCTGCAATTGGCCATTTCTCACGTTTAGCTAGGGAAAGTAATCTTTTTAAATCTGACGAGTTCACTTTTCTATCCATCTTCGCGTCCTTGACATTTTCTACTTTATTAAATAAAAATTTATTCAAGTGGAACCGTCGCTTGATAAGAGTTTTATTAGATTCTTTTAAAACTTGATTTTGATGAAGTGAATGAAATGTTCGAACATTTCTAAGCACTTGAACTGTGTTCGGATAGCATTTAAATAGTGCTATATAATTAATCATTTCATACAAATCTTTTAATTTTGAAAAATAAATTTGATTTCTTGCTTTTGTTTACAATTTTGTAGACACAAAAGTGAAATTAAGATTAGAAAACATTTTTTGTAGAAAAGAACAAACTTTTGGAGATTTTTGGATTTCAAAAATTAAACGTTTTTTCATACCTTTTTACAAAGAAGCTTTTAGTTCTGGTTTTCACTTTATATAGTATGTGGCAGTATTTTTTTCATGCTTACAAATTTCGAGCTTGAACATGAAATATTTTTTTTTTCGAATGTCGAGATGTAAGTTTTTGCAAATGGGGGGGGGGGGGGGGGTGGAAAATCACATATTCTACTTAAGGGTTTGAAGTCACTCTCTTGTCATTTTTCAAAATAAGTTTCGGTAAGAAGTATTAACGGTAAGAAATTTAAAAAATAATTTCGTTTTCTTTTTTAAAATAAATTAAACCACCAATCAAAAAATTGTTTCACTAAATCAAATTTAAATATTCATAATTCTTTATTCATCATTTCCTTTATTTCAAAATGAAATTGACATAAACCTAAAAACTTCGCGCTACTACTTCTTTTTAATCAGATTTTTAAAAAATTAATTTTCTTATTCATTTTATACATTTGTGTTGATTTTTATAATTAATTTGATAAACAGAATGATATTACTTATTCACCCTATGTCATGATTTATCTACAAATCTATCGATAGTACTTGTAATATTTATTAATCTTTTAACCACGTTTTTTTTGTAAGTGGTAAGAAATTTCATTCGTGAATTTTTAAAATATAGTAACATGTATGTTAATTTTATAATTTAAAGGATCTTTCATTTTGTTTTAGGTAGGTTCCACTTTGTTTGTTATTTTATATATTTTTTTTGAAGGAGACGTTTTAAAAGGATGTGAAAAATTTGTGGTTTTGCATTCATTTAACTAGATAATATTTTAATGTAAATTGCTAATTAGTTTTATCATAGAATTATAATTTCCCTCAAATGGGTTATAAACAAAATGAATAAACAGAATATGTAATATATAATTAAACCAAAAATTAAAAAATTAACTCATATAAAAGGTCAATTTAAATTAAATTGTGAATTAAGAAAATAAAAAATTTGTATTTTACATTATGCTTAAACTGTGTTATATTCTGTATTAGTTTACTAGAAGCTGAAAAAAAAGGATTAAGAATTACTTTAAAATAATTTTATTAAAATAATACATGTACACTTGAATATGATGTGAAAAAATTAAAAAAAAATATTTAAATGCTCTTTTTCGAGGGAACTTGTGTAGAACTGATGTTTGTTTCCTAAAGTTTTAAATTTTCTAGCATACTTATTCTATTTTTTTCAATTTTCCAGTTTTAGGATATTAACTTTGAGTTTGGTTGCTTTTTGTTTTTATTATTTTTCATGAGAAACTAGAGGCTAAAGGCACAATAATACATGTATTTCAAATATAGTTCTTATTTTTATTTCATGTTTAGTTTTATGTATTTGTTTTTTTTTATATAATTTTGTGAAAATTGTTGATCCTTAATTTTTAAATTTGATAGTTTTATTTTCTTTTTCCATCATCTTCAAGTATTTAATTTTTTTTTTGAATTATACACAATTTTTCAGTATTTTTGGGAAGGCATTTCCATAACTTTGCCGAAATTTAACTTTATTCAAAAAAAAAAAACAAAATCAAATAAATAAGATTTTTGGGTGTTTCTTTTTTAAAAATTAAATTTCGTTTCATCTCACAATTTTACTCAGTCCATCAGATTCTTATCACTAAAATATTATGAATTAATTAATTACAACTTAATAATTGCATCATGACTCGTTAGAAAAATAAAAGTTTTTACAGTTGATAAATTGACAGCAGGGGCGTAGCCAGGGGGGGGCCATAGGGGGCCCGGGCCCCCCCTACGAAAATCTGATAATTGTTTTATTAAGTATTTATAGAGAAGAAGTGATGAAAGAAATGTCAAAATCAGCACGAAAAATTAAATTTAATGTATGAATAATGAATTAAATATTTAAACTATGAAGAATGAATATAGATTTAAGGATACAAAATAACGGTTTTTTAATTTTTGAAACTGGGCCCTCCCTTAAAAATTTTCTGGCTACGCCCCTGATTGACAGCATTTAACAGTACTGAGAGGCTTAGCCAGAGCAAATTAAAGTTTTTTGGAAAGGCGAGAGTATTTGTCAACCTAATCCCCCCTACCTCACGTTACCTAGCTACACGCCTGACAGTATTCTGATTAAATCCATCAGATAATCAGCTCTATTTTCGTATGCAACTTGTGATTTCTAGAGACTTAATAAAATATATTCTTTAACTTCTAATCTAAAATTAAAATGATTAATACATATGCGATCTGTGAAGTTATACAATATCAATATATTTGTAATATAAATTAGCGTGTTTAAGGATAAAAAAAAAACTACAGTTATAAGCTTTATCAAACCATTTCAAAATAATCTGCAATAATCCCTGTTTGTTCATTCATACAAATCTTTTTCGAAGACATCTTTTGATAATAAAATTTTGTCAATTTGGAAATCAATTATTTCCTTATTTAATAGATTATTGCTCTCTTTTTGTTTCTGTTCATCTTTCCATTTTCAATCAAATCACTTTACTTTTCATTATTACAGTCCTTTCATTGCTATGAAAAAATTATTTTTCTTTTTCGATTAAAAATATAAATTTGATATACATATTTTAAAGTTCATTTCTCTGATCAAATAAATTAACATGTTTAGTTTAATTCATATTTGTTATCATTTAAAAAAAAGAATTTCACACTCAATTTGTATAAAAAATAGAAATATTTATCTTAATAATTATTGTATTTTTCTTTTCTTTTCAAAATGATTTAACACACTTTATACAGGCAAAAATAAGATAATTTTATTCTTTTTGGGGAGCAATATCTAAATTTCTCGTTTCATTCAGTTTCATTATGATCATTTTCGTATCCACCTCATGACGAATGATAATATTTATTTCTTTTTGATTCAACTTTTCTGTTCAGTATACAATTGAAAATTTATCTTTTATAAATTATTTGAATTGATCACAATTTTTTTGTCAATTTTATCCCACTTTCAGTTTAATAAGTATTTTGGGTTTTCTTGATTTCAAGTGGAGGCACTATTGTTTTTCTGCTCATCACTTGAGCGTCTATCTGTTTTTGCTTGCGGAATAACTGTTAACGATTTAGGAATTTTAGAGAGCAATGAAGCAGCTGATGGCTCCATCAAATTTGTTCCCAAATTAGCAAGGTTGGCGATTTGAGCCAGAGCGGCCATATTATCACTGTTAATATTGATCTCATTATCATTCCACAAAGAATTCCATGCTGCTAATTGTGCTGCTGCTGATGAAGTGGGTTGTAAAGCATTGACTGTTTTTGATAATGCACTTAAAGCTGGTGGTAACATTGACATCATATTGTTGGTATTTGATTTTGGGTATGATTGTGTTAAAGGTGGCGGAAGTCCTCCATTATGATGTTTTTTTCCATTTTGTTCATTTGAATTTAGTGGAATCAGTGAATTTTGTTCTAAGATTTGATTAGGAATGTAAGCTAATTTTGAAGTGGCATTTGATGGAGTTGATGTTGCAGGTGGTTTAAAGTTATTAGTTATTGGTTCTCTTTCCTTTGGCATAGGAATAATTGATAGAGCAGATGTTGATACAGGTACAGAGTTAGTAGTTGTACTATTGCTGTTACTATTTGTTGTATTGACTGAATTTGGTGAATTTCCTCCAGCTGTATTTTGATTTTGAACCAAGTTTTGCTGTCGAGCTTTTTGTGTGAGTTGTTGCTGTAACTTTTCTCGTCTTATGATACACATTTTGTTATAATCATGTATACTAATATGATATGGCTTACCGCCTGACATGACTTGAACTAATTCAGGCAATTTTCGACCATCAGCTGTTTGATACAATGGTCCATTTGAATTTAATAATTGTCCTGAACCAGTGATTGGAATTAATGTTGGACGCCACGATTTCGAACATTGTTTTCTTTCCTGTGGCGTTAACGTATCGGGTAATACAATGACATTACTATTATTACTATTTCCATTTCCATTGTTTGACCCAGTTTGCGATGTCATTGTGGTTGAACTTGTTGTTGCCGTTGTAGAAGTTAAAGTTGTTGTACTAGTTGTGTTATTTAAATTTGACTGTGGAGCCGTCGGTTCCTTGTCTTTGGCACTGCTTCTTGTGGCAGGTTTTTGGGTGAATGATATTAACTCTGGTGGAGATGCCTTCTTTGGTACAGTTTCATCAACTTTCATAAGCTTTTGTTTTGGGCTACTCATTTCATTTTGCGAAGATTTTCTTTTAAGTAATGAATTGCCAGGATGTGTCGTAATAGTTAATGAATCATTAGATTTCTTAGCCTTTGAAGCAGGAATGATAGAAACTTCATTTGATAAATTTGAAGTTCCTACTGTTGATAATGAAGATGGTATATTATCATAAGATCGTAACCGATTTCTTACTGATTCAGAATATGTTACAGCAGAGTTTGATGCAGACTGTGAAAGCACCAAGTCTCCGTTGCGATAATATTTTTCTAAAAGTACCAAATGACGGATGAAACTCGATTGATTACCATACGGTCTTTGTAAATTCTCCCATAAAGCTTTAGTAACGTCATCGTATTGCATTGTCATTTGAACTTTAAACCACCCTTCAGGCGTTCTATGTGCGTGGTTGGAATTAAATGGTAGATTTATTTGTAAAGCCATTTCTTCTTCGCCTGGGAATAATTCACGCATTGAAATATTTGGATTGGATTTAAGCACACGTGCCATTTCATTGTTATCATTGATTTCCTTCTTCTTTTTTTGCTGATCATCATTTTTGTTACTTGTCTTCTGAATTGTTGTTGCTGATGTGGTTTGTATTGAAATTGGACCTTTGTAGTTTGGATCTAAAAAAAAATTTAAAAATCATTTTTAATATTTTTTGTAAACTTATATATTTAAACAGTTTATTTTACTTCTTATTGTATGTGCTGGTGGTGAAGGGCAGTTTTCGAGCATAGGAACATCATAACCAACCATTACGTCATTATCTAGCAACATGTGACCGCTGGGTGCTGGAGATCCTTTCATTGTTATAGTAACTTCTTTATTATTTTGAAATCTATCTGAAAATTTCTTCGGTTGAATTTTTCCATTCTTAATAGTTAAAGTCAGATCATCATTTCTAATTGGAACTTCTTGCACATCATCATCATCATCAACTGAAACAATGTGACGATTAGCATATTCATTTTCAGCACTATTATGTTTCATCAACCTTTGAAGAAATAAAATAAATGATTAAAAAGTTTATTCAATATAATATTAATAAATGTGTTTCTTACTTTTTTGTATAATTTTTAACAAAATCAGCCTTTTGTGTTTTCGGTTCAGGAGGTTTGAAAAGTAAGTTATTGTAGTAAGAGCATAACTTGCATACAACTAGTGTTGAATTTGAAAGTTTTATATGCAACCCTTGTTCGGCAATCAAGTGTTCCAAACGTATGATGTCCTTTAAAATTTAAGAATAAATAATTATTTAACTACTATCCTTATAAAATTTTGAAATCTCTCGATTTACCTGATTTATGTAGAAAATGTGATTGCGTGGCAGTTTTCGCTTGCACATGGCACAAACCATTATGTGACTAAGAGCAGCAAAATGTTCTTCACAAATTGATACATTGGTATTGGTCGGCTGTAAATCTAAATTAATTTGAAAAATTTTCGAAATAGTTTTCTTCATTTTTATAAACCATTTCTTTCGAATACTATGAAGAGCATTCTCATTGCAATCGATGACATTGCAAATACCATAAGTGCGCTCAAAATTATTCTGATGATTTTGATGAACAGGACTTGTACCAGTTGAAGTAGATGGTTGAGATGATGCTGAAGGACGTTGTTTATTTCTATACGATGGGCAATTAGCACGGCGATCAACATGACGGAAGCAAGCGTCGCACAAGCAACTATCTTTCGTAAGCTTTTCTTCATCTATTTTTAAAAACAGACAGAGAAAAAGAGAAAATATAAAAATAGTCAAAAGATGTAAAAACATGCTTATTTTTCCTAACTTACTTTCAAGAATTTTATTTTGACGTTCGGTTGATTTAATTTGAGCGATATGGCATGGTGTATCGTAAAGTCCGAATTTCCCTCCACAATAAAAACACTGGTCCTTACAAATTCGCTCCGGATGCACTTTGAATGATGATGCTTTCTCAGGAATTACTAAGGATTGTTCAAGTTCTTTGTTTACAACTGGTTCATTGTTTTTGTTTTGATCATTACTTGTAGCTACTTGGTCTACAGAGATTTTTACCAAAAAAAGCAAAAGTCAAACATTTCTCACATCAAACATACCAAAAATTCACAACAAGTCAACATTTTTACTTCGATGATATTTGAGATTTTCGAGTTTAAGTTTTTTGTGGCTTTCTAATAATTATCAAGGAGAAAATACCATTACCGTGTTTTATTGAAATTTCAAACAAAATTGTCAAATATCATCAAACCATAACTTATATTAAAATCTTATAAAATATCAAATTGAAGAATAAAAGTATTAAATACATTATTAATTTGGTCCCATTTTAAACCATTTTTTTAAATTAACTTTTTTCTAAAATTTTATATTTTTGTATAGCATTCAAAATTTAAGTAATACATTGCTCAGTCATTTTTTGATCTTTTCATACTTTTATTCTTTCAACCTTTCATCCATTATATCTTTTAACGTTGTTAATATATTAATTGTGATTGTTTTTTAATAAACTTATTTCGATTAATAATCGGTTATTTTTTAAGTAAAATCTACCAATAAGGATGCAAATTTAAAAAAAAATTGAGAATTCTACTTTTGATTAGTTAAACTTATTACCATGATTCGATCAGTTTTTGGCACTGCCAGATTAAACCCTAAAAACTTCATTAGTAAAATGTTTTTAAAAAATGATATTATATAATTGAGTTAAATAAAATTTAATGCATTATTCAAATATCTACAAAAATCTCAAATAATAAGTCATAAATAAAAATTTTCAAATTCACACACTTTTTTCAAATTCAAACTAGATGCAAAGGACGAACATAAGAGAAGAAATCAAAACAAATTGATAAAAAAATCTGGCAAAACCAGTAATGATCAAGTAATCGATTATTAAACGGAAAATGCAATTAAATTGTTAAAGAAAGAATTTTTATAGATCACACACCATGATTATAAGAGCGATTAGCGCTTTTACGACTTATCGCACCATGACTCTCAGTCGATGATAAATCCTTCTGTAGCATGAAAAAAAAGAAGATGAAGAAGAAACTTGTTTTGATAAATTATATAAACTTAGATAATTGATTTAAATACCTCATTTTGAATGGTATAGAATGAATTTTCAGCTGAATTGGATGAACCATTTGCATCCCTATCACGATTTTTCTTCTGGAATGTGATTTTCAATGGCATTCGAGTCTTTCGTTTCTCCTTGTCAGTTCTGGGTAATTTGATAATAGTTTTAAGCGTTCCCGATGTTTTACCCATTCCTGAGTGATAATCACTAGATTCCTTTTTAGATTTTCTGTTTGATTGCTGTGCTACTTGGAGAGCAAGCTCTTCTTTTCGTTTTTGCTTAGCAATTTTAGCTTCTTCAGCTGCCTTGTGTGTAAACAATCCCAATGATTTGAAATGGTTTTCCTTAATTTTTAATAACTCTGCAGTTTCATTGAGCTCAATTTTTGGTGTATTTACTTCGCTCATAATTTTCAAACAATCTTCTGAGCGAGGTGAATTACTTCCAATAGATTTTGTTGAGCTTTCAACATTATTTTCTTTATTCTCTTCTGATTCTTCAATTTTTGTAGGTTTTTCTTCCTTAATGTCATTTACAATTTCTTGTTTAATCTCTTCCTTCTCATTATTTTCATTTTCCTTATTTTCATCCTCATTTTCTTCTATGCTTTCAGCTTTATCAGTCTGTTTAATTTCATTTGGCTCATCAATTTCCATCTTCTCTCCATTAACTTGTTCAATCGCTTGTTTTTCTTTTGATTCCTCCTCTTTTTTTTCTTCAACTTCAATTTCGATATTTTCTGGTGATTTTTCTACATTTTCCTCTAACGTTTCTTCTTCTTTCACATCTGTCTTTTCGTTCATTTCTGTTTCCATTACTTTTGGAGATTTATCTTCAATTTCTATATTTTCCTCAATTTTTTCAGATTCAACAATGTCATCAATGTTCTCTGTGTCTGTTTCTTTTTCATTTATCTCCTCATCGTCCTTTGTCACTTCCAATTTTTCATCAATATTTTCTTTTTCATTTGCATCTTCGTGCTCTGCTTTTATATCCTCTGCTTTCTTATCATTCTGTTCTTTTTCAACGTTTTCGTCTACATCTTCCTTCATTACAACAGTAACTAAAGCAGTTTCAACAATTGTTTTCGTCTTTTCTTGTACTTTAACAATTTCACCAAGTTTAGGATCCTTTTCAATGCCCAAATTATTTTCAAGAAAGTCTGGTTTATCATACAAATGCTGAACACTTTCAGTATCCAGTTCCTCACTTACTAATTCAGGACTTAATGATTGATCTTTTTCAACACCTGTTTCAGTTGTTTCTACTGAAATTGTTATCGCTTTGGCACTATCCTTTTCTGTTTTGATACTTGTTGATGATAATGCAGGTGAAACTGAATCACGCTTTGATTCCGATTTGTCACGTGCTTGAGACCGACGCGTAAAAGGACTATCACGATCCTTTATTGTGCTTTTTCGTTGACGAGTACTCCTTCGAATGTTTTGAATATCATTGGATTTAGAATCAATTTTTTCTTGCTTTATTTCCAAATGTAAATCAGTATCATGTGATGATTCATTTTTTTCTCCATGCTCCACGTCCATAGGTTCTTCTTCTTCCTCGGGCTCTTTCTTTTCAACGGGCTTTCTTGCTCCTTTTCCTTTTTTAGGTGTAACTGCCGTTTCTTCTTTAACTTTACTACTGTCATTTAATTTTGCTCCTGAACTACGACGTGAAAGGTTACGTAAAGAAGCTTTTACAGGTAAAGGAAGTGATGTACGTTTTAGCATTGCACTACGACGAGCCATTGCTGATGTAAGGCTTGCAGCTTTCGTTTTTAATACTTGTGATTTTGTGACTCTTTTTCCAGGAGATTCTGATCCTTTGGTTTCTTTATTTTCGTCTTCGCATTTCGCGTCACCATTTGACTCTGATTCTTTGTCTTCCTTTGCTAGTTGTCTTTTTGCACGTGTATTTGCTGCTTTTGCAACAACATCATTTGATGCAGTGCTACTAACCGTATCTTCACTCAACCCAACAGAATCATTTTCTTCCTCATTTTCCATTTTTCCACTGCTCAACATACCCGATCGACTACGTGACATTCTCTTTAATTTTATAGCACTACTTGTTTTTGTTGTAGGTGTTGTACTCTCTGATGGATGTGCTGGTGTCGGTGAATCTGTTTTCATTCTCTTGTCTCTTGTTGATGCCATTTTTCTTTTGTTTAAACTTGCGTTATTCTGAACCTACAAATGGTGAATTGATTTTACACATAAATGACGTAAGATCCCTTTTCTGTAAAGATAAAAATTTAAAGTTTTGTTAATGATTATTGCTCCAATCAGAATGAATTTATAAAATGTCAGATTCTTCGTTACTTATTATTTAAGATTATGATGAACAGTATTAGCTGAGCTAAAACTTAATAAGGCAAAATATTTGCTTTTTTTTTTTTTCGCAAACTTTCATTTCTCATCATCGTTGCGTTTTGAGCACAAAGTTTTCAATTTCTTTTGTTTTATGTAGGTATGTAAATGTTATTCTTCCAACAAAATTAAATAATTTTGAAATTTTAAAAGTTTATAAAATAGCATGTATTCGTAAGTGAATTCTTTTTTTTTTATGTAAAGCTTTTAAAGCTTCTCATTTAAAATAGACTTGACTTCCAAATTTTAAAATTGATAAACATTTAAAAAATTGAACTAGATTAGTGTTCCTTTTTTTTTGTAGAATCAAATTCATAATTACAATACCTTGAACTAAAATTTTTCCACCGTTTTCTAGTTGTATTTGTTTTTATTTATTGATTGACACATTTTATTTGAAAACTTAATGGGTTGCAAAAAAAACATGGAAGGCAAAAATGTCATCGTTCAATCACTTGGTAAACAAAATGGTAGCATAAGCACTAGATTTATATTTTTTAAATTGACGATGATGATGATGATATAGGGGCAATATTCGAACTTGTGTGATGAAAAGCACAGTTATGTACACAGAATAATATTTTTTATTATGTACAACGATACCGTTCACTTTCCAACCATTTCCACAGTCTGTAGAACTTTTTAAATGCCGTGCATTTCAACACGATACTTCTTCAGCAACTAAAACTTTTCTGCAATCTGTATTCATTTCTCAAAACATTATTCTTTCTATTTAATTTTTCTCATCGTGCACATCCAACGAATCATGCCATATTTGCTAAAATAGCATCAAGAGTATCGTTTTGTTATAAATTTTCTATATAGAGAAGAAAAAAAGAGAGCGGGAGAAGTTGTAGTAAAACAAGAATTATGCGAAAAACATTTCACACAGTTTAACGTGATGAAAAGGCAATGATCAGTTCTAGGTTGAAGCATTCTTTACTTTCTTGTTTCCTCTTTTCTATGCTCAAACATCAATGTTAATACATTACATGCACTTTTTATTCATTAAAACTCGAAAAGAAAAATTATCTGCGTCTGAATAAATGTTTTTATTTCAATATTTTGGCAATTTTGTGCTATTAAGAATCATTGTTGACAATTTGGTTTTTATATATAATTGTAGAGGATTTAAATAACTGTTCAAATTTTCCAAAACCACCATTTTATTTCATTTTTTAATTTTTATTGAATTATTTTAATGCGAGCAGCTCATGATCACGATTAAAAAATCACCAAATTTTAAGGAAATATTATTAACGAAGAAAAATAAGGAATACACATTATTAGCTTTGCCTGTAAGAATTTAACGAAATGAGCGTCTCCATATTGCTTATTACTTTTGAGTCATTCTCTCATTCAAAATCTTTAAAGACTTTAAATAATTTTCCGTGTATATGTGAGAGACCTCAAATAGTCTGTGTGTATTTATGCAACTCTAGTGGAACGAAGCACAGAAAAAGACAGATTAAAAATATTTTTCTCTTTTCGTTCTGTTCTGTTTTGAAGAGTGAATAAAATTAGCTTCTCTATTTTATGCTTTTCTGCGTCTGAATTTTCCATTTTATGATCATGAGAACAAATGCATAGCTTCATTTCTCGTGGTTTTTCCACAATTAAGATATTATCTTTTAATGTAATATTTCTTAATTTAACAAGGATTTAAGAAACTAAATCTGAGACTTTCATGTTCATTTTAAAAATCAAAGAATTTAAAAAATATAAAATATCGTCCGAACGAATGTGAAATAGCACATAAAATACATGTATCTGTGCTTCAAAAACGAAATGTTTTTTTTTTTTCTTCGTATTTATTTCGTGTTTTTGCTTTCAACTTCGGTTGAATATTTTTTTTCTTTTCTCCATAAAATGGATATGGAGAATTATAAAAAATTTAAAATTCGTATGATTTTCTATCGCGATTAGTTTCTATTTCAGTTTAATAAAGCCACAACCCTAAGCATAATAATGCTTTGAAGTTTGAATACATTTTAATTTAAAAATATCAATTCAATTTAAATTTTTAATTCTTTTTGCTAACCAAAAAGCTTTTCAAGAAATGCTATGGGAATATCATTCACTTGTAAATTCGTAAAACTTTCATGCCATCAAGCATTGAATACGCAACCACCACCACCACTTGTTTCGTTTTATGTTATGAAATATTTGTAATAGTATTGATAGATCTTTTTATACTTCACCAAAAAAATTCTAGCTTTTTGAATAACTAATGCTTAAATTTCATATTTTTGTGTGTCAAATGAAACAATTTTCTTCATATAATATACAATTTATTTATGCTTTTTCAGCTACAAATAAAGTAGTTAATTAAAATAAAATCCACTATTGTTTGCCTTTGTTTTTTTTTCTCCTTTACATACATTACTTTCAGTCACTATGAGAATAGAATTAAATGAGAATGATCGCATTTCATGTTGTGTAAATAATATACATAATAGTTTGAGATACTGATTTCATTATGGCGTGTAAAAACAGTCTTTTTAAGAAAAAGGAGTTAATAATTTAGATTTAAAAACTCAAATTTATTTAAAAAAATAATTTAAAATTAATATTGCCCCAAAAATTATTGACATTACATCAGCAATTCATAATAAATATACACCAAATGTTAAAAATGAATAAAGTTTAAAAAACATCCCACGTCATCAGTATTTTCTACTTCTTCTTTTCTTTTTTTCTTATTCATCGCTCAGTGGAGCCTTTGTAAGTTTATATGACAGTATAGTATTATTGTATTAGTCATCAACATCATGAAGACTATGATGAAAATCATGAGAATTCAAATTAGTTATCTAAGTTTCCAATGAAAAAAGCTTCCTGGTGCAAAACTGAATGCTTTTTTTTTGATTTTATGACGCAAGAACTTTATTTTAGGCAAGAAGTAAAGAGAAATTGAAAAAAACTAAAAAAGAAATGCAAAAAGCTGTATGTACATAAATGTGCCCATTTGTAAAGCTATAGTAAAATTTATATATATATGTACTGTAGTGGCGTGTGCACAAAAATTGGATTAATAATAGAAAATGATATTGCCTTGAGTCGCGCTATTTGTAAACGTGGAAAACATATTTCAGAATGGAGTGTTTGATATTTAATGCATGGAAAAATTAAAATGTCGGACGCTTAGTTTTATTGACTTTAAACGAGCTTTCATGCCATTTTGTTTGCACAGTGAAACAATGAACGAAACAGTTTAAGCACGTCAATGAAGTGTTTTAATAACTGATAAAGCTTTCTCATTATTGAAATAATTTGAATTTAGAAATTTGAGCGTGGATTTTAATTGAAAGCTTGTAAATCGATATTTTGTTTTTGATATTACAGTAAAAAGCTCAAATTGATAAGCAACAAATTAGACAAAGCGAGAAAAAGCTTCAGTTTTTGAGAATTGAATTTATTTTTGGGTTAATAATCTTATCTAATCTATGAAAAAGCTTTCAGGTACGATGGAAGTCTGTGTATTTAGAATCAAATGTTTTTAATTGTATTCAAAAAGCAATCAATATGTGTTTTGTTTTTAATGCTTATCGATTTAGGATATTGAAAGTATGTCATTGCACAGCTCCTCTTCCATTTTCATTTTTCTTCTATTGTTTCTTTGCAGGCTTCATAAGTCAATAACTTTGAGTTGAGTGAAACTATTTCTGCTTAAGCTTTCAATATATTGTCATTCAAATTGAACTTAGTTTTATATCTTTTAATTTTTATTATAATTTTATTTGTAAGATCTGATATTAAATTTTTGTTAAATCAAAAATGGAATTCTATTAAAAAGAATCATTTAAACAGTTCCAGGTATTTAGAATTTTTAATTGAAATCAATATTTAATTTATAATGTTAAGTTTAAAAAAGTATTCCAAATCCTTTAAGCTTATATAATTGTTTGTTATTTAATAATTGAATCATAGGCAAGAAATGAGAATTTTTTTTAAATTATTGACATTTATTGTACGGATATTTATTTCATTTTTCACAAAAAATTAAATTAAGGAAATATTTTCAAGAACTTTAAAACATACATTTCAAAAAAGAACACATTTACTAATGTGAAAATTTTTAGAAAACAAAGTTGTAAACTTTTATAAATTTGGAAAAATTCTGCAGGTACCATAGCAACATGAAACTATGAGGGGATGCGAAATCAAACATAAAAAGTACTTTTATCATACTAAATCGTCAGTTTGCATTTATGTGTGTATCTCAAGTTCTTTTATTGAAATTGAAATTTTTTTTTCAAAATAATCTTGATGTTTTCAAGAAAAAAAAGAAGGGATGGACTCGAAAAAGCCCTAAACAATGAAAATACGCATAAATGTAGACAAACATTTCATTTTCCTCTCCAGTACACAGAAAACTTTTCAATGCAAAAATGAAAAAAATCACGAAGAAAAAGAAGAATGAAAACCGAATATTCAATGCAGTTCAACCCCAAAAACTAAATCATGAAAGAATTGTGTGCGAATGTATTGTGAGATTAGTGGGAAAATTGCTAACATACACAAACACACACCGAGATGAGGAATAGAGATGATATAGAAAAGACTTTAGGGAACTTGCATCAACTAGTAATACAATTTAACCCCAACCCTTAGTACAAAACATAAAGCGGAATAAATAGAAATGAATAACGGGAAAGGTATAGAGATGCACGCACAATTACTAATACGTATGCAATTATTTATATTCTTGATCCCATTTATTCTTTTCTATGTTTCAATCCTTAAAAATTATAAATTTTTCTTACTCAAAGAGTTTTTTCTTATTATCATGAAGAATCTCATTCAAAATTGAAATTAAACTTATGCATGTTCTCTTAATGCATACGTAAAGCATTTGCACAGACTTATTTTGATGAAAATTTAATTAAAACCAAAAATTTATCAACAACACTCGCCCCCTCTAAAAAATTGTCATGAACAGTTTTCTGTGCATCTGAGAACGGGAAATGAAATAATCATAATGCTCCATCATCAATACATGTACATTGAAAAACATAAATGAATAACGAGTGAGAGAATTATAGAACACAGAAAAAAGCAACAAAAGCAGCGCCCGATCATAGTACAATAAATTGATGAATCGCACAGAAAAACCGGAAAGTAAAGTTGTGGATGGAAATTTTTTTTATGTGCAACTCGGAAGAAGAAGCATTTCATTTCTGTTGGTGAACTACGATAAACAGACATAAAAAATTTTCTCCCCAAAGAAAAAAAGCATGAAACGATTGTATGGAAACAAAATTTTAAAACCACGAGATACAGAAGAAATGATTAAATACATAACATACACAACTTGATATCATGGAGTAAACACATGTGAATTTGATAATTTCTTTCTCTCTCTCTCTCTTTATTTCTCTTCAAGAAATACAAAATGGAAGAACTTTTACTACACGCACTTTTCATGGAAGCAATCATAAAATGAAGAAACGTAAAGAATGCCTTTTGCTTTTAGCATACATTGACTAAAGTTTTGGAGCAAAAAACTATTCAGGCAGTTGTTAAATGTCGATGCCGGGAATAAAAGAGAGAGAGAGAGGGAAAGAGAAAAAGAACAGTGAAGACAAGAAATGGAGAGAAAATAGAATCAAGCATCAAAGCAAGGATTTCGGGTGTATTAGTAATGTAGATTTACACACCAACAAGCATCTTCACGATTCGATGGTCTCATTTTACAGCGGGAAAAATCGAAGAAACAACACAAAGCATAACATGAACATATATTTCTTTTACATGTATGATGATAAAATGTTAATGTTGTTGTGTGCAGATGTTGATTTCTTTTTTTTCTGAAACTTCTTTATGTGTATCCACTTTTTTTGCTAATTTCTTTAATTCCTTTGGTGCTTTTTCAAAATTTTCTTTTCACATGATCATTCCCTTAAATTTTATAATTATCATTAAAGTAATTTTTGATGTTTATGTAATTTAAGTTTTGCATAAAGATTTCTTATAAATTCTAATGCCAACTGTAAATCAATCAAAAAGGATGTCAAGTTTTTTAAACAAATTTTACAGTTTGGTTTGTAAAGTTTTGTGGATTGTATGATAATTATTATTTTATTTTAATGAATGAAATTCGTTGCAGATTCTTAATATGAGATAATGTAGATGCTTATAAACTTTATGAAGGTTGCTAATTTAAACTTTTTATCTTATTCCATTCACCATTTTTCCTTTCTTATTGCACGTAAATATTTTTTTTTTCTCTTTGAATACATCAACCAAAATCTCTTGTTGGTATTTGTTAGAAAAAAATCATCTCCCGTAGGATATTATTATATACTGATGATTTTGTAAATGCGAGGAAATCAACAGTCGGCACCAAGCGACGTAAATTTTATCTATGTGTTTGTAAATGTACGAAAAAAGGAATTTGTCGCTACACATACATACTTAATGCCAGTCAAAACAAAAAATAAAAAAATGTACACAAGGCAAATGCCGATCCTGCCGCAACAAAAATAAATGTAAAGCACGACAAGGAAAAAAATAATGCCCATGTTTTTCCTTTTTCCTTCCCCATAAAATAATGTAAAGCATGTTATAAGAAAAGATACGCAATAAAGAAAATATATATATTTTTTTCATGAAATGTATATCACATGCTTTTACGAAGCAAATTTTTTTTGCAAGGAAATGGTCGCCCACACGCACGGTTATGTTTCGTGAGCTCAACTTGATCAGTGTTGTTTTGAAAAGGAAAACTCAAATGCGCGAAACAAACGTGCATCCTTGATTTTGGATTCTTGAACGTTAAGCAATTTCTAGAGCTTAAAATACACATCATCAGGGCAGTTTAAATTCATTAAGGATCAATATTTTTTCCATGTTAGATTTTATTTGATTTTGCAGGACTTAATAGATTAAAACATGTTCAGGAATCTGTCATGTATTTCAAAGATTTAGACATTTTGCAATTTTTACGCCAATTTTATGTTCTCTTTATTTTAGGAAGACAGATTTATTTAAGAAATTTTCAAGTTAAAATCACAAAAACCTTATAAATTTCCACATCCTTCAATTTCATCATGATTTAATTTTAATCACTTTAAAATATGTAGACAGATATTTCTTTCCTATTGAAAGTGCAGGGATACAGCACAGAGAAAACTTGGAATTCTGGATCAAAAATTGAGGAGGAAATAGGAGGACTCTAAGTCGCTCAAGTATAATATAAAGATGTAATCTCAAAGTTCATAGAAATAATATATAATATAATTGGACTGAACATGAAAGAAGATGGGGAATTTATTGCAAAAATAAGAAGTAAATATATTAAATCATAATGCACTTACCTGATGATAGCTCCTCATCTCATATTTTAGAATGACGTAAGGAAGTGTATTTATCCCAAGGGAACTGACTTACCGTAGTGAGAATAGTATATTAGAATTTAAATTAATCCGATAGAAATTTAATTAAATTCAGTGAGAGCGCGAGAGAATGAAATATAAATTTTAATTGAGGCAGTAAGTGTTAATTATCTAACGCGCAAAAGCTTTTTCGCGTGAAAATGTATGCGATGAAAAGTATTAAGAATCATTTTCTACACATTACAACCCGCCGAAAAAACGTAGGTTTTCATTTCATCAAGCTCTCAGCTCATAGCTTTTCATCGAATACGATAAGCAAAATTGAAAAATGAACGAAAAGTAAAATCAAAACTTTAGCACTCGATTCTGCAAAAATACGAAAGCATTTGTGTGTATTCACGTACATAAGCTTAAAATCGCGAGAAAATCTGACATTTTTTTTTCATAATATACTGTTTTTGTTATTTTTAAAAAAGAAGAAGAAAATTGAAATTTTTCCAAAAAGAGAGTACTTACCATATATACGCCACCTATAGTTCGTTTTAAGTCATCTGAAAAGCACTCATAGTATTCCTTTCGATTGTAGGCTATTTAGAAAAATTGAACCGAAAGCAATCGCCTTTACGACTTCAGGGACGAAAGATGTCAACTAATTCCGAAGTAGGAACAAATTTTTTTTTGTCTTTCCTCTCCGTATATATTTATGTGAAATTAATTCAATTAAATGTCGATTAGAAATGCACTTTCACATGAAACTAAACCATACAATAATTATCTATATAACTTAAATAATTTATTTAAACCAAATGTTGAACTTAAAAGAGAGAAAAACTAAACTAAAAAATTCGTAGTATCTGAATGGATTTTATTTTTCAGCTTGAACTCAAAAAAATATATATTCTTCAATGAATATTTTTATATGTAACAACACAATGATAGTTGTAAAGCGACTAAAATTGTTCATGAGATTTTTTAAAAAAAAGCAAAAAATATTTGAGTTATGCCTTAATGTAGTAGTGTCAACGTGTACGTACATGAAATTATTGAGAGAATAAAAATTCTACTTGGGAATTTTAAATGTTAATTAAAGAAACTTTTCGATCCTTTTTCTTGTACATTTTAACAAAAACATTAGTAATACAATAGAATTTATTAATTTTACTGTAATTAATTTATAAAAACAGCTTGAAACATCAAAAGTTTCTCGATTGAAAATTCACAAGAGACTCTCTTTTTTTGAAAAAAGCTTTTAAAATTCTCTCGCATTTCTTTAAATTGAAAATTAAAACGAGGAATTTCTTTTTAAATTAATATTGTTTTTCACAATTTTCCACGTGATAAAATGGCATTTAGAAGTTTAATAAAGCTCCAAAAAGTGCTACTGCCTCTAAATACCATCAGCGTAAGTAGAATCATGAGACATTTTAAGTAGAAAACTAAAGTTGTTATAATTTTAGCGATCAATTTCAATTATGCCATTAAAATGTGGACGATTCCGATCTTCAGAATATTTTCAAGGATCAGAGCATCATCCAGATGTTGAAGTTATTAAAAATCCACCTGAATGGAAGTATGTTGAACATTTGATTGGAAAGAAGTTAATTCCTCAGCCAGAATGTAAAACTGAATATTCTTCTGGATGGCAACCACAAGATCCAGAGAAATATAAGGACCTTTCTTATTTTATCAAAAGAACAAGAAATTATATGCTACCTGTGTATTTACGTATTACATATCGTGGAAATCGCCGTATTACGTTCATTAAGTACATCGAGGGAGATATTTGGAAGCTTGAACAAGAATGTATTGATTTAATAAAATCAAAGACTAACAATAATCCTCAATATTCACAAATCAATGAAATGAATCGAACGATAAAAATTAAAGGAGACTATGTAACATTAATTCAAAAATATTTGTATAGTAAAGGTCTTTAGTCCTGCAAACATCCTAAAATGTTATTCATGTTTAGTTCATTCTTTAACTTGTGAGGAAATAAAGTAAAAGATCCAGTTTAGACTTTTAAAATTTGAAAATTACACAAAACAGATTCCATTTATTTACGATACATACAAATTAATATAATTTATAAGGTTTATGTTACGCGTGAGGAGTTGCATTTGATCGTTGATGGATTCTATTTCCTTTAATTGCTTTTCGTATCGTCGTCCAATCTTCCATAATCTCCTCCTCATGTAGCATATAAACTATGTACGGACCAGTGACAGTAGTTGGTTTTTTCCTTCCAGGCCCCCTTACTTTATTCGATCTTGAATTTGATCCCCAATCAGCCCAAGAGATATCAACATTATGACTGTCTTCCTCTAATCTTCGAATCTTATCATTCAACTCCTCATACAATTTATCAACAGCTAGTTGCTTTTCACTTTCATAGTTTTGTCTTGCCGCTTGTTCTTCGGACTCAAATTTATGACGAATGTTTTCTAAACGGTACTTTTTGAGAATTTCTGCTACTTCCTTTCTGGCATTCATTCGGTCAGAAAGGGCTTGTAGTGGATTGAGATATTCTTGGGACATTCCATTTTCGATTTCATGCAATTGCGAATCTACATGCCTTGAAATAAATATGGTGGTTGTTGAGGATTGAATCAAATTTTAATAATTGTTTACTTATAACTTACTTTATTCTCTCTTTGTATAAATCCTCACGCAATATAAGGAATTGCCTTTCGAGATCCGCTAAAGATCCAGGAATTGAAAAATGAAAAATAAGATTGAATTAAATAATCAAAAATAATCAGATAAATTGTTCTTACATAAAATTTCATTAAAGTCAGTTATTTTTCGTCCTATTCTCAATTCATTTTCTGTCATTTCCGATGAACTGGAAGAATCAGCAGACATTTCACTATCGCTGGAATTAGTTGAGTTCATTTCCTTCTCAGATTCTTCACTTTCTGCTTCATTATTTGGCATTTTCACCATCTTAATTGATGTAATCGTCACTTGTAATAAAATGTATGTTATTTAAAATATTTCTTAAAGGACCTTACTTAATAAAATTAAATTAAACTTGTTTAGCAATTTGTTGTTTACAATTTTTTAAAAAAAAACTTCAAAAAATCGAGAGAATATGAGTGTTTTAATCCGAACGCTCTCTCTCGCTAAGTACGAATAACATAATCCGAATGTTGAAGGATAATAATCCCATTTTATGTTTTAAGATCTTTAAGAAGTGCGTGCTGATTTTTTGTCTTAACATGTTTAAAACACATATATTGTAAAAACTTATCATAAAAATTGACCGATCTCATTAAAATCACATACTTGTAAGCTAATTTTATTTACTTATCTATGACTAATATATAAAAATAAGTATTGATGTTCAAAAAATTAAAATTAATAAAGACTTTTTCTTGAAAAATTCAAAAAACATATGAAAATTACTTTTAATTCACAGTACAAGCCGTTAGAAATTCTCACATGTTTTATTAAATTTAAATCAATTCATTATTATGTTGATTAATATATTGAATTAATCTTTTAAAATCTACAAAGAAGATTTACTGTACAACGAATTATCTTTAAAATAATGTCTTTTAAAAGATTTACTTCAAATTATTCTGTTAAATTAGATCTTTTAAATTTTGTTCGGATAAAACGAACAAAAAAAAAGAGAGTTCAATAAAGAACAAATAAACACATATAAAGCATTTCACTAACACGCTCTCAAGTTTTATTTTACTCTCTTTTTCGAAACGAAGCTTTTAAAATTTCCATTTGCTATTGATTTTAATTTTAAAATGTTAATTGATTTTGCATTATTAAGCTAATTTCTTTAATGCAAAAATGTAATTCAAGCATTAAATTAACTTTTGACATGTAAAAAAATTCCACACAAAAGGAAATTTGTCATTAATTTTACATTTTAATTGTTTGTCTTCATTGTATATGAGACCATCAAAGATAAATTCCTTAATTTGATCAAATTCTGATAGATTTCTTGTTAATTTGGAAACACTTTCATGTTCAATAATGATCATATCATATTTCTAAAGATGATTTTGCTTCTTAACGACCCGCATATATCGTGAAATGTCTATAAAATATTATTAAAATTTAGATATTATATTTCTTGAAATGAGCTTTTACCAACACATGAGAAAGGCTAAAAATAACATTTTCAATCATTCTCATTTATGGCGGAATATATGATGAAAATAAAATCACGATATATAAGATTTAACCCTTAGTTATGTCTAAACAAATATGAAAATAATTAAATATAAACATCATTTTAAATTGTAATGTTATAAAACATAACAAAAATTATGTTTATCAAGTCATAAAATATGTTTTAAAAATATGAAAATTGACATTTCGCATGACATGAAAAACAACAAAAATTCCCATCAAAAGCTCGCTCGTTGAGTTATAAAAAATATTTTGAGGCAACTGTACTTTTTGCTGTTACGTGTTCACAAAAAAAGACTCGCACACATACATCCTATATAAAATGCTTCAATGTAGGAAATTTTATTTCATGTTAATGACTCTTTTTTTTATTTATTTTCGCATTATTTTGGTAGAACGATCGTTTTCAACGTTAAAATTAAAATGCATTCATTTTTCTTTTGTATGATACAACAATATATAAAAAATTTTCTAGCTAGGAATACTGAAAGAAAAGCATACATTTGATGATGTTTAAGAATGTATTCTCCATTAATATAATACTTATTAGAGAGGGAAAAACTGTTCAGCATTATTTTTTTGCGGTGACTGTACTTTTTCTGCTTTTGTTATGTAGGCTCATATTTTAGCTTCGTTTAAAACAAATTTACATAAGCAGAAAATATAAACGTGTATATATGCATGCAAAAAATAAAGAATCTCATTTTATTTTTAAGTTTTCTCAAATTTTCGTAGTTATCACAATTGATCATGAAATTTTTTTATTTAAATTTTTCCAACTCAAAATTCACACATATATTGCAATAGACGAGAACAAAGGAAAGTAGTTGGAAGAAGAACAAGAACAAAAAAAAAAAACGCTTGAAAGGAAATGAACAAAATAATTATCTTGCTTTTTTTATTGTAAATTTTTTGAGCTGTATGTAGGCTATATATCGTTCGTATATTATTGAGCGCATTCTTGCTAGCTTTTAAATATTCGTTAAATTTATAATATAAGAGTAAATTGCTTGCCAAATTTCTAACCCTTCTAATATCTAATTTTTTTAATTTATTGAATGATGTTGAGTTCTCAATTAATAACATGACTTAATATTATTTATGGCAATAAAAGTATTAAATAAACAACTTTTAGTAGTTTTGCAAAAAAAAATAATTCATTATTGACTGATATTTTCTAAAATTTATCAACAGTTCTTTAAAATTTCTCGAATGTTATCATTTTATGATGAATTTAAGACGTAAATATATTTCGGAGAATTTGAGTGCGTCATCTTTGGAATGTTTATGGGATTTTATGTTATAATAGAATATAACGCTGCAATATTACTTAAGATGTGTACATTTGTGAATTTTAAAAATTAATTATTATTGACTATGATGAAGTCCTTATGTGGAAATACTATTCCTTGTTGTATTTTACAAACAAATATTTACCTTAAATCACGTTTTTCTATTTAAATTTTAAATAACTTTACGAATTGACATTGTTTTAAGCTTTACATGTTTGAGCTATGAGAACACATAGCTTTGCTTTTAAACCGAAACAGGGGGTCTAACCCCTTTTCCCCTTCCTGCAAAGAAAGTTCTTCTCAATATTGTTTTTATTTTAATTTGTTTTAAAAAGATTTTAAACAATAGTTTAATTACCAATTTATTGTATCATTAGAATCGATAAACAAGTATGCAATCAAAAGTATAGGTACAAAAATTTTTTGGTCCCGCTCTTTCTTGATATGGATGGTGGTTTTGAAATTCAATGTTTTGATAAAATTTCGTGGTATTCTTTTTTGTATATGCTTTAAAGCTGAATTAATCATCTAGTAACTTTCCAATTAGTTCTTAATATCTCAGCATTAAAGCATCGTTATTAGGACTTTGTGGGATATATCGAGGACTTAAAAATTCTAAAAAAACGTATTTTTACAGATCATCGAAAGAAGTGACTTTTGCTTTTGATTTGCCATTTTATTCAAATATAATTAAGAAATTAAAGCATTCTAATACATTATGATCCATACATATCAAAAATAAACGAAAAACGAAATAAACGAAATATCAATCATTTCGTGGATTAAATGGTATATTTTTGATTTACATAGGTACTATTAAAATAATTCCTTAAAATTTTATGTTTTTAATATAAAATTTTTAAAAGAGATTTAAGAATTAATTTTTTATTTTTGTAATAAACGGTGGTTGAGAAGAGTTGTAATATTAAAAAGTAAATAATGTTATGCGTCACAAGAGAAAGTAGGGTATGAACCAAGGACAGCTCAATTCATAAATAGAAAATGATTGCTAACCAAAAGTCTCGTTGTGTGCTCGAAAATATAATATGTGTATAAAAACTTTATTTTCTTCTTTCTTTTTCATCTTCTGAATTTTGCTTTGTTTTTATAGAAAGTGTTGAGCAGATATGCGCAGATAGCTTTTAAGGTCGAAAAACTTTATACAAATGAATTAAAAATTATTTATTTATTTTAATGCACTTTTTTTACTTTAGTAAGAAAGAATTATACTAGAAAAAAAAAACTGATAATTTATTTATGTTTATTCATTGTAGAATATAATGTAAACACTAAAAAGATGAAAATTCTTAGATTTTTAATTCTGAAGGACCATGTTTTTCGTTTTATTCCTAATTCATTTTTTCTCAAAATAACGAAACCCTTATCAATCCTGTGGATCATATTGAGAAAACGGAGCACGCAAAGTCCTACCTCTACCTTCCATACACATCACAAACTTTCTGGTGTCTATATTATCTTTAGGAGAATATTTTAAGTAGCCAAAAACTTAGTGCCTCTATAAACATTTACCATTTTCTTTTCGTCTTCTTCATATTTTAACATTCTTTTACTCTTACCAACATTAGAATCAATTTTTTGGATTTCCATTTCAATAGGAACATTAGATATCTCATGAGGTCTAGTTTTTTGTTTTGTATCAATGCCTTGTCGAGTTTTATAGAGTTTTAAAGCTTCCTCAATTGGTTTTACTGGGCGATTTTTCTTAAGGCCTTCTTCCATGAGATCTTTGGCATAAGCAAAAAATTTTTCATCAGATGTATCATCAAAATAAGCTTTGTTGAAGGCATTCTTTGCCTTTTCCTTTTCAACAATATTATTTTCTTGTTTTGATTTTGCCTGAATTTTCAAATTATCCAAAACTTCTTTAGTTTTTTTCTCTGCCATATCCTTTCTCATTAAAGCATATTCTCTTGATATTACATCATTAATAACTCTAGTCTGGAAATAAGATTTGTCTTCTTCTTTTTTTAATGCTTTTCGCATTTTTGCATGTTTAAGGCTTTGACTATAATCTTCCAATCTTTCAAATTTAAGTTTATCTTTACGTTTTTTATCTTCTTGTTCACGTTCATCCAAAACTATTTCCTTTTCTAAACGTGCTTTTACAATAAATTTTTGTTCACTTTCGAGGTTTTTACATTCTGCGATATGTCGATCTAAAGCCATTTTTTGAAGTTTCATTCCCAATTTCATTCTATCAATTTTAGATTCTGTTTGCTGATCTTGAATCATTTCTTTAATTTTATTTCTTCCCTCATTGTGAACTTTCATCAGTACGTCAATAACTTCACCTTCACATTTAACACGCTCTCGTTTTTGTTTAGCCATTAAACTGGTTTGTTTACTGTGTTCCTGCATATATTTGTTCATTTCCTTCTTTTTGACAATTGCTGCAGCTTTTGCATCCTTTACTTCTTGAAGCTGTTTTTCAATGACCTCCAATTCTTCTTTTATACGAGCATCACGTTCTTCGACTTTTCTAGCATTCCTTTCTTTTATCATTTCGAGCAATTCTTTCTTGTGCTCTTTGGCAATCAAATGTGCATTTGTACGATGCTGCCAACCGTCATTGAGCCATGCTACACTTTGAGCGATATCTCTTTT